TATTCAACCTGCGTTAGCCTTGTCTGCTCTTAAACACTCAGGTTAAAAAATCCGTGTTTAGTTTCTCTATGGACTCTTGGCGACGGATTTTTATTCAGGGCAGCCGTTGCAGTTTGTGGTGGTGGGTCGATAAAACAGCGTCCCCTATAAGAGACCTTAGTGTTTTCTCTCCATCGATCCTGTCGCTCCAGATACATGGAAGAGCGGCAGACGATTAGCCTCAGACGGTGAACTTTGACCCCGTGCTCTCATGGCAGGTGACAGGCATCAGTGCAGGATAATTGTGAGATTGAAAGAGGCATTGGTTGTTAATCATTGCATCTTTGGTCCCAGGTGCTGTGTCGCCCTAAGTTATCACCGGCCAACCACATCCATTTTAGTGGCACATGACAAAAACTGGGGTAGTGCGTTGCGTTGATTTACTGCTGTGAATGTGAATTGAAAAGGAATTTTTTATTGATTTTTATCAGTAGCAATTTAGATAGATCCTAAAACTCCATAATGTAGAGGTGAAAATATACACTGTTGTTATTCAATGTATTCAAGTATATTAGATACAATTTGTTAGTGGAGGGCTCACCAGCTGCTTGTCGCCCTGGAGATCTTATTGTTTTACTTGTAATATTCCACAATATGGCATCAAACTATCTATCTCCATGGAAACAAGCTGGACCGGTGGGAATTCTAGCTGCCACAGTGGGGCGCCATTGACAAAAAGCATTAGTTGTGTCCTTGGGCAAGACACTTCACCCACATCACCGTTGTTAGTCTGCCCCAGGACAACTGTGTCTACAGAAGTAGCGTACCATCACTGAGTGTGGAGTGAATTAATAATGTGCAAAACTGTAAAGCGTTTGAGTGTCTGCAAAAGCTCTATGGAAGACTAATGCATTATTATTATTTTCAAAGAGGAAAAGGTGATCCTGCTCATAGTAAGAATGCATTTTGGTATTTATGACCAATGAAACATAAATTCAAAAACTGGGCTATCTTACTTGGATAAATGTAAGCAAGTTTAATGCTGTATTGTGGAGCATTCCAGACAAAACAAGAACATCTCCATGTAGATAAGCAGATTACATGTATGCTTCACTAGTCACATATTGCAGCTTTAACTGCATAAACTGTACTTTTAATTGAGTACAGATTTCAGAACGCCTCTTCCTTCTCTGTACGCTTATTAGATTTAGTCATCTGTGACCCAAGAAAGATTTGTCACATTTAATTAAATTATGCTTAAAATATTAACTTCTTTTCCCATTTCATGTAAGCTATTAAAACATAAAAACTGTTAGATTCAGATCACTGTTGCTCAGCATTTCTTTGTATCATAATTTCGTCAGGCTTAATTTTGGCTGCTCTTTCCTTCCAAAGCAGTTTTAAACCTGGAGGTCATTATGGTAATTAAAAAATATAACTTTTATGTGTGACTGTTTGTAGTAGAGATGTAGATTGAGAGAAAGAGAAATTATATTAAAATGCCGGGTACAAACCTGGGACAAAGTGAAGCGACATTGCGATTTTAACTGCTCCCTGCAGCAAAACGCTCTGTGGGGACAGTGTTGAAGAACTCACTACGTGATTGGATAAAACTCGAACACCTTTTGACTTTGAGTGTCTCTGCTGAATTCTACATTTGATAGATCTACTGTGTAATGTCCCACGTACTTTTGGGAGAGAGCAGACTTTTTAAATGCAAATCAATGTTACATCTGCTTTCCCATTACCGTGCTCTGCTTCATTTTTTATGCTTTTCTCTCGGTGTTAGAAGTTCGATTTAACTTGTTAGAATGAGTCACGCTCAATTGTGGATTAGTTTAGGTGCAAAAGAGATTTTCTCATTATTACTCTTATGGTGGTAGTTGATCAGTAAATAGAGACAATTGCCCTCTAATGAGGAGTTTGATGTTTTAACTCCCAGTATTTGCTCTGAATACTGTGAGGCACTTCACAGACTTATGTCTGTGATACTTCAGTGTGTGATGGTGTGATTTCTGTTTGTTGGTGGTTGGAGGGAGGCAATTAGCTGCCACATCTCTCACAAATTGTCACAGAGCAGCTATGTCTTGAGAAATATTTTACCACTCAGAATAATGGACTGACTCAAGGCTTAAAAAGAGCATTGCATATCCATTTCAATGTTTCTCATAGATTTGGTTAAGATTATCGTGGCACAATAATTTTTTATTTGAATAATTTAATCTCATTCAGATTTGTGGAGTATTAATGTTGATAGCTATGTATAGTTAATCTTAAAGCAGTTTTCACCAGTACTAGTAAAAGTACTACCACTGCTCCTGTAAGTTGTACCACTTGAAATACTATACTATAATTTCTACTAATATTAAACTATTCCTGCTAATACTATGAGTTATACACGTGCATTTGGTCTGGATCAAAGGTGTGGTACTTGAGTCATACTAGAACTGCCACGTCTTTTGGCTGCGTTAGAATAACTTATATTTCCTGACAACTCAAAACATCTTGGTCTTGCTCTCTCCTGCTGCTCCTCAATTTGTCAGCTGTGAGCGGTTGACCCCGTTTGAGTGCCGGGTCAAAGCTATCTCTCAGCCTGCGTGAGTTTGAAGAGGTCCCATCGGCGAGCTGTGGTGTCCTGGATCACATCTCTGCTCTGCCTCCGCTGTGTCTGATCGCCCTAACTCAAATGGATATGCTGTTCAGATTAGCATGTGATAGGCCCGGTGCATTGTGGGTAAGGCAGAATAATATATGTGAATGTGTGCATACCCACTTGACTTGGAGAAGAAGGGCACTGTGATAGACTGGGTCCCTGTGGTGTTGTGAAGTATCAGGGTCAGAAGAGGCTGATGAGATGGTTTGGACTTTATTGTTTCTGAATTCACTAGCATAAGTTGTAAATATTTATTTGGGAAAAATGTTACTCAAATTCTGTGTTTAATTGAAATAAATGTCTATATAATCTGTCAGCAAACACAAATGGAGAGGGACACTGGCTATGTTTACACACAAAAAGAGATTGTTGATTTCTGGAGTTCAGTTTAATGTAAACAGTTACATTTGATGTAAGTAATCTGATTTCTTTCTGATTGATCACATCTGTGTAGGTCTGATGAATACCATCTTGCTGGTCGAAATGCATTGGCATCCCTCTCCATCTAATAAAGGACTTTTAATATTTTTAGTCACTTTGCCTCGGGTTTTTACCTTGTCCGTTTTTACATTTTCAAGTAAGGGCTACACTCTTTTGAGATCTTATTATTATTAGAGTATAGGTTACCATAGCTGATTTTTAATAGCCATCTAAATGTATCCACTGTATCATTAGAACACACTGGCAGGATGAAATGGTGAGTGACAGGATCAAACCCCAAGATGACCTGCTCTGCATTTAAAACTAAGAAAACATATTGTGTCTTTGTTTGCTATATAGTTAGAATCCATGGCACCCATGATGTTATAATTTGAACATTAAATGTCAATATTCATCTAAAAATTTCATCACAATAGCTACGCATCACAATAGCAGATTTTTTTTTTTTCCATTTGTACCAATATGCATATCACTGATTAAGAAAATAAAATTGGAGAACAAAGTAAATACAGAGCAGTGGGTGTATACCATTGGCAGTGAAAATGGGAGTTGATCAGCAAAATGCCATCAATGAAAATTAGCAATTCAAGATTGGTCAAACATGTACGAATCACTTCTGGTGAGTTAATGGTGAGGGGAAACAATTATGGCATGGTTAAAAGCCCTCAAAAGTCCATTTGGGCATAAAACATCTGCTTTAGTAAAAGTTGTAGAGTTATGCTTAAATTCTTATAGGCAATAACCTGTCGTGGAAATAGTATCTATAAGTAAAGACCTCTAAGCTCTAAAATACCCAAGCTTGTGATAAGAAACACAACTTAAAACAAGATATTCACAGTGACAGACTTTCCTGCCACTGCAACTGTGTAAAAATGACTCTTGATATTATCTGTAAGTGTCCTCCACCACAGCTTCAAAATCTCGCTGCCATTATCTTCTGCGTATTTGTGTCAAGTTGCCCCTGTGGCTCACTCCTGTGTGCACTACTCAGCACTATTTACCAACACTGCCACACTAAATTAGACACAACACCGCTTACAACGCACCAAAGGTCAACTTACATTTAAATTGCTTTTTAATTATGCAAATTGTGTTTTTTTTTTACTGTGTTTTGTAGTGTGGAAGTTTATTACTTTTAGGACATTGTTATCTGCAAAACATTATGCTCTTGAATACAACAGATATAATAAGAACAGATTGTGTTAAGACAAACCAGACTTTGGCGTCCCAATGCAAAAAAAAGCCCAGTTCTTATGTAACAACAACAACAAAAAAACACAGTAATTCCCCAAAGAGTATTTAAGTGTACAATTTATATAATAACACTGTGTTATATAATACCTGCTGTAGAGTCTCTGCAGACTGTCACCCATAGTGGCTTCTGGTGTTTTCTTCTTTTTTATTTATTTTGTTTTTTAAAATGTTTTAAAATGTGGAATAAAAGTTTACACTCAACAAATCAATGCCATGTCTTGCCTATTATTTGGGATTATTTTTATTGTGTTGTGTTTTCTTCTTTCTTATTTAATTATGATGGACTATTAATCACAATATAATTTAATTCTTTAATCTATTAAATGTAAAAATATTGGTTCAAAGTTTGTTTTTAGTGTATTCACTTAATATTATTCTTGCCTATTCTTTGGGATCAAGATGCTTTTTATCGTGTGTTGTTTTTTTTCTTTCTTATTTAATTATGGTGGACTATTAATCACCATATTATGTCATTCTTTAACAGATTCAAAGGAAAATATGGATTCACTTTAATTCTTCAGTATTACCCTCTATTCACTTAGAATTACACTTGCCTGTTGTAGAACACTATTGTAGCTCTTGTCTTGGGTGAATTGTTAAACTCACACAAAGCCATTACCTTTTATATTTCTCTGCTCCTAAAAAATGATCCTTGAGGACAACATTTTCCTTGCTGACAGTTGTTTTGTCACTTCCCATGCAGATCCCTCAGATAAGCTACGCCTCCACAGCTCCAGAGTTGAGCGATGATCGGCGCTATGACTTCTTCTCTCGAGTGGTTCCTCCGGACTCGTTCCAGGCCCAGGCCATGGTGGACATCATCAGATCCATGGGCTGGACCTATGTCTCAACAATCGCCTCTGAGGGGAGCTACGGAGAGAGAGGAGTGGAGGCCTTCACACAGCTGTCCAAGGAAGCAGGTATTGTGAAAGTGGGGGCTGGGTTAGACAGATCTTGCATATTTTACTTAAAGGCAGGAGGGTAGTGGACGTGGTACGTGGAGGTACACCATCCACCCACTTCCCCAACAAGAGTATATAATAATGGGCCCGGCGGTGCACCTGCATTGACCATCGGATGACCACAGGCGAAAGGACCAGCGCAGAGCTCCGCGCGCCACAGGGCTAAGTGCACCCGTTGCCTTTTTCGACACCCTGTTCTGTGGGCTCGGGGTTCTCTCTCTCTCAAGTCCAAGATTAGTCTTGGTTTAGTCCCGGTTAAGACCTGGTCCAGCTGTTGTAGCCTATGATTTATGTTCTGTAGGTGATTATGAACGGCGTTAATGTTAATAACATGATTCCGCATCATTTTGAGTAAAAAAAGATCAAATATTACAGATTTTTACCAGGCTGTTGCCTTTATGTTTGTAATGAAAGTTTTACAGAAAGTGAGTGTACCCCACTTAAAAATCCCCACTACACCACTGCTTAAAAGTGCATTGCGTAACATTTCTAGTAGATTCTCCCCCACCTGCTAATCTCCACTGAAATCCTATCGCTTTGTCTAGAATGTTCCACAGTATTAACTGAATCATATCTATCATAAGGGAGACAAACAGGTTACAGCACTACGCTACATTACAATTCAGATCTGTGGAGAGTCTTCCCTATACACAGAAGGAATTACTATATTTTTCAGTAATAGAAACACCCCTAATGAATAAATGCTATGTGGATATTTTTAATATTATACCATGGAACATTCCAGGCAAAGCAATGATATCTCCTTGGCGACAAATAAGTAGCAGACCCTCCACCAGAAAAGTTGGGCAGTGCACCTTTAAAGGCCCACCATATAACTTTTCATAATACATATTTGCTCATATCATATTTCTAAACACTTGCAGCCGTACTGTGAGTGGGCTTACCTCTACTACACACACAACTTGTTACTTGTTATTTCCACCAATCTGCAACCAAAATAATTTAAGTTACATTATACTGTTACAAAGGTCAATAGTGCTAGTAATTTTCCATGGAGCTCTTTTGTTTGTTTTTTTACTGGAAATGTATACATAATAAATATATGATATTATATAAATTGTGCAACAAATGAAACAAAAATATTATGAACACAATGTGGACGGTCAGTTTTCTGTTTATCTCTATGGAAACGTTATTGCTTTGCCTATTGTACTGTACAATACTGTACTGTACAAGCACGGCATGTCACCAGGCCAAATTACAGGTCAGATCTGTGGAGAGGTGACACTGCTCACAGTGAGGATGCAGTGAGGATGTTTTTTTGGGCATTAAACAGTGCAATTGAATAAATGCAAGATTTATCAGTTTAATTCCATGTTATCCACCAAGAGTATTTTTTGGTATATTTTACTAAATCATTTTGTTACAGCTACAGTTTTGTTGCTTGTTCAGAGAAAGGAAAATCGTTTATGCGACGCATTTGAGGATTAAAATGTTTGTGTTTCATATTAACTTTGCTCAAGAAAGACTTTTAGTATCACAGCCACGATTTAACCTTTATTTTTTATTGCACCATATCAAATCAGTTTGAAATATAACATATCGAATCGTATCGAATCAATAGCGCACTGTATTAAGGTGTATATTGTATCTGCAACTTCTTAATGATACCCAGCCTTATTGCATTGTGCACCTTTAATGTATTACGTGACATATAAATTCTGTATTGTCTTGTTTTCAATATCCAATATCATGTCTTGTATCATCTTGTTTGATTGAAAATTCCACCTGAGAAAATTGACTCAAATATGCAGTGGCGACTTCGCACTGTATGATTCTATGTACATTTTCCCAGTAAAAGACTGATCACAATTGCATTTCCAATTCAGGTTCAAACTCTGTTGTTTTAGCTGGATGAATTATTGATCTGTTTGCTAACTCCAGTCCTCCAGTGAGTTGTGAGAGTGGAGGCTGTGAATATGGCCTACAGAGGAGAGGCAATACTGATAATAATATTCACAGGTTTACACTTTGTGCCTCCATAAGGATTTTTTTTTCTCCAGTGGACATTTCTAATACAGAACATCAAACATATGACTGTAATTCATTTGGCTAATTTGTCTGTTTTATTTTCTTGTTGATGCCCTAATTGCATACAGTTCAAACTGTGGTTCATGTACTATTGATGCTGATAGAATAACCCTGGGGCACTTAGATCCTTGTTAAAGCAATTGAAAATGATACTTGGAAAGCTAAATAATTCTGAATGCATTGAATGAAAACTTAAAGAACAGCTTTGGTTTTGTCAAGCTGTCTAAAACTGAGTATATTTTTTTACTTTTTCCTTCAGAAAGTTTTAAAAGAAACACATTATTTTTTACTGAAATGAAACAGGGATAAATAAAGTGTGCCGCTTCCGGAGAGGCCTCTGGGATAAATCATTCTAGCATGTTCATATTTTGCTGTCACTTTTCTGAAAATTACTAACTGTTCTTCCTTTTTACTTTGGACACCTCAAACGATTGCAATCAGTTGCAACAAACTCAATTCAGTTCCTTCATTAAAATGTCCGCTTTGAAGAACAAGCTTTCAACCACTATTTTGAAAATGTAATATATTTTGTTCATATTTGATGTGCTTGTTATTGATCCTGTTGCTTTTTCTTGTTGTTTTGCAGCCTCTTGGCCAGGTCACCATTGTAAATCAGAATTGACTCTCAGAAAGAAAGGTTAAATGAATCAAATAAATAAAAAAGGGGAAATCAACCATGACGTAATATTAGCTGTTATTGTAGTAGTAGAAGTCGTACGAATTACAGTATTTTCACAAAAATAATTGGACTTACACTAAAAATTATGAAATAATATGTTTGATATGGCAACAGAACATTGAATCAGGTCATTTTGAACGCTGCAGTTGCATATTTTTCCCCTCTTAATTAAATGGTATTCTCTTTTATAATTATTCAAAGATTTGGCTAACCATGCAGTGAGCCCCTGTATTTGTGTGCTCAAAGCAGTTAGACTTAACATATTTTGTATTTTTAAAGGGATCAAATCTGTGCTTTTGGGGACAGACTGCGCATCAGGATTAGAGTGAACTGGCTCAGACAGAAGCTGCAGAATCCTAATCAGCCTCATGTTCGGGTCGTGCTACATTAATGATAATTGTTGCAGAGCTAATTATCCGAATGAAGCGAAACTGTTACATTTGAATGTGGATTTGGAGAGGTTAGCATGAGGGTGAGGAAAAATAATAAAAGCTAATTTGCATTTCAGTTTTTATGTGTTTTTTTATGTGGGAGCAGTTTATCTTCTACGTTTGACTTCTTGCTTGCTGTCACTAGTGGCAGAAATTAATTAGACACATTAATGGAGCAATTTACTTACTTTGGAAAAGGTTCTGGAGCTGTTTTAAAGGGCAGCGCAATAGTCATAGGAATTCACAATAGCAACAGTAATTTTGTGCAATTGAGGTGATGGTACAACTGTAATAGTAGTAAATCAAACAGTGCAAGTAAAAGTTGAAAAGAAAAATTCTTGCAATAATAATAGTAGTTTCACTGTTGTACAATTGTGAACGAACCTTTCAACAGCTTTTGCTTACTTAGATACTTTTATTGCAATGTGATTTTTTAACTAGAATTGTATGATACCAAATATATTAAAGGTCCTATATTATGCAAAATTGACTGCTGTGCACTTTACGCCATGTTAGAATATTGTTACCTCATCAAAACATAGCTGGAGTTGTGTTTTTTTTTTTTTTCATCTGCACAATTTAGTAATCCATTATTAATAGTCTGTCTGCATCTGTAAAGCTCTCAATGCTCTTGTCCACCTTGTGATGTCATGAAGCAGTAGTTTTCAAGTTAACAATTACTTTTTACCTTTATTTTTTTTACATTTATGTCGAAATTGGCAATTCCAGGGCTGAAATGGCCCAAATGATCCTCCTTCCATGAGGATCATTTATATGGACTTCAAAACTGTGTAGAGCATTTCCTGTATTGCCACATGACATCACAAGGTAGAACAGTGTTTTTCCTTAAGTGAAGAATTCATCCTAAATATGCAGGGTTTGTGTGTTAAACATGTGTGAATGAAACAAAACACGACTCCAGATTTGTTGAGGAATGATGAGGAAACAACATTATAACATCGATCAATAAATGGCATACTATGGTTCTTTTAAAACTAAACAGCAAACTCAATCTCTCTGTTGTTTTTGTACTATATAAATGTCTATATAAATTATGAGATCAGATCTATAGCCTCTTGACCATTTCCTCTGACCGCTGAGTGATGTGTCTGGACACACGCTAATGCACAGAAACCTCTAAAATGAGAAAGCTAACGACATCCCCACGGCTCTGCTCCAGTCCAGTCCGCATTAATATTTTACTGCTGCGTTCATGTCCACTGTGATCTCTCATTAAAACTTCAGCACCTGTTTGTGCCTGCATTTACATCGCCACGGAGATGGATAATACTGCAGCGGGATAAACAACCAGGTTCAATGCTTTTCACCTTATTGTATACTCCAGGAGTCCTCAGGCGTATGATCCCCACAGAGTACCAGCAGAAAATATTGGGATTTTCAAGTGGTGTATTCTGAAATGAAGATGATATCAAAAGGAAAATGGAGGTGCTAAAATAGGACTAGCATATAAGCCAGGACCATGGGTGAAGTCTAAACCTGGACTAATATAGAACTTAGAGACTGATCAATATGTTTTTTGTTTTGTTTTGTTTATTTTTATTTTTTTTATGACTGGTGTTGATATGACTATTTAGACTCCAGAAAAACCAAGCTCTGACGATATTTTGGGCCAATATGTAAAGCTGATTTTGATTATTTTTCTCAAATTATGTAATTTCAATTTATTACAAACTCAGTCACAGTCCTTTTGACTTACCGTATTTTTCGGACTATACGGCGCACCGGATTGTAAGGTGCATAAACAGACGACTCTTGAGACTGATCCCTTGGCCCAG